TATGTGTTTTTTTATGTATGTCTAATGTGGTAACTCTGGAAATCAGATTCTCCCCCTTCCCCAGGGTTTGCTGGTTTTTGTTATTGTTTTTGTTTTTTGATTATTGTAGGCTGTCGCTGTGCTGAGGATCAGCCTAAGGTGTAAACTTAAAACCTTCTGAGGTCGTTTCTGAGTTTTTCCCTGGATATGCATGGTTAGTTTCTAATTTTCCTTGTATATGCAGTTGTTTTTGAATGTCCTCGTCTTTAATATCTGGCTCCCAAATGGGGAAAAAGAGAAAAAAGACAGTGGGGGGTGGGGAAGAGATCTGACCCCTTAAGTTCCCTGGAAGTCACTTCAGGTGGAGGCAGAGAGGCCGGCAACAATGGGGGGAGGTGCAACAGTGGCTGCCTGCCTCTTTATCTGCACCTTTATGATCAGAAGCAGCAATCAGGGATCAGAGCACAGGTCCCTGATATTTGGAGGACAGGGGCCTTTTTACCTACCACGGCTCCACAAGCTATGTGCAAGCTGCTCCAGGAACATTTACCCAGCTGCCTGCTATGAGGCTAGGGTTGCCGGGATGAGTAGCTGCTCCTGTGCTAAGTGCTGAAATTGATTGAAATGAACTGCAATTTACCTTCCAAGTCTGGCCCTGAAAGTTGCAAGCCTTCAACATACTCCAGAGTTCCAAAATAGTTACATCAGATAGATTCTGCCAGTGTAATTGCTGTCTAGGTGCAGAAACAAATTTCTGGTGCATCCTACCTGCCATCTTTCTAGAACCCTCTCTCTCTGTTTCTAATTTTTTGAGGAACCGCCATACTGTTTTCCATAGAGGCTGCACCATTTTACGTTCCGTACAGCTATGCACAAGAGTTCCAATTTCTCTACATCCTTGCCAACATTTTTTACTTTCTTTTTATAATATCCACACTAATAGAGGAAGTGGTCTCTCATTATGGTTTTGATTTGCATTTCGCTAATGATTAGTGATGTTCAACATCTTTTCATGTACTTATTGTCTATGTATATATCTTCTTCGGAGAAATGTCCATTCAAGTTTTGCCCATTTTAAAGTCAAGTTTTTCTTTTTTATTGTTTTTTTATTGTAGGAGTTTTTTATATATTCTGGATATTAATTTTTGTTACCTGACTTTTTAAGGTTTCTTCCTGTCTTAACATTTATATACCTTAAAACTACACTAACTGTTAACCCAATAAGCCTTACGCTCTATTGTAGATAGCTTAGAACCTAGCTACTCAAAATGTGGTCCCCAGACTGGCAGCATCAGCATCACCTGAGAGCTTGTTAGAAATGCAGAATCTTGGGCCTCCCCTGAGAACTTCTGAGTCAGAATCTGCGTTTGAACAAGGTCCCCAGGTGATTCATACGACATCGAAGCTTGAGAAGCGCCGCTCTAGCACACGGTGTGGCTGTGTAAGATGAATCAGGCGCCTGTGTTTTAAAATTTTGGATTCTAGAACGACCCCATCCTGGCATTCTTACCCTTTCTGCTATTAAAAATCATGACCAAACTGTGCAGTTCTGATGGCAAAGTCACGAGTGTATGGTCCTTCTTAACCCTGACATGCTGACATGGATATTTTTCTTCAGGGTTGAATCAGATCAATCCATATGCTATATCTTTTTCTATCTATTTCTCTTCTTTTCCCTTCTCCCTGCTCCAAAAATAAACGTAGCCAGTGGCTGTACCTTCTGTTTCTTTCCAGAAACAAAAAGGAACAGATTCCCGCGCTGGTTTTCAGTGGCCCGTCTGACACTGTTTTATTTCTTAGCTGCTCTGTGTAAATTGCTTGTAGGCAATTCTTGTCTTAACCTCCAACTGAGGCTTTGTGCAGCTGACGTGGTTATTATCTCAGGAAGTTAGTGACAGCAATCCATTCCTTCTCCTGTGGGATCATATGACTTTAATGAGAATACTCCCCGAGTGTCCACTTTCTGAGCAGCTGGGGTGGGTGTAGTGGCTGAGGTTGAGATCTTTGCACAAGGAAACTTTGAGTCAATGAGACTCTTCCCTGACACCTGTATCCTAAACACCTCATCTGATCATTAGCCTTGAAAAATACCTTTGGCCCAGGTAGATTTCTGGAAAGGACAATAATGAACACGATACCCATCCTAATAGACACATTCACCTTGAGCATGGGCTGGTTCTTATTATTGTGTTCCCTCATGGTGAATCTTGCTTTTAATGGCTTAGTGAACTCCCACTTACTCACTCTAAGTTGTCTTTTAGTAATGTGAGCATTATCTTTGTTTATATTTATTTCCATTCCATGCAGCACACAGGTAGAAAGAACTTGAAACTAAAATACATAGTTAGTTTCTCATCATTCCTTAGCAGGAGTGAACCCACAAGGAAGGAGGTAGGAGGGAGGCATCTCTACATAAACTGATGCTCTGTGTTAGTGGAAAATCTCCGTCTATTCCCCTGTGATGCCTCTCACGAAGTGGCTGCAGGAAGGGCCTTGGGGGGATGATGGTGTATGCAGTGGATGTTTTGTTTGACAGGCCAACATCCATTCCTCTCCCTTTGATTAGTCTAAGTCTGTTGCAATGATTCTATTCCCCTGCTAGTGATTGGTTTTGGAATGGCAGGTGATGAACCAGGGCATGCAGTGATGTCTGAGGGTGCTGTAGAGGTGGGATAATTCTGAGAGGTTCCCTTATTCTGTGGAAAGATGGCTTCTCTTTTTCCGCTTGACCTTGTCGTGTCTGGAGAGGATGCCTGGAAGTCCTGCTGCCATATTGCTATGAGCCTGAGGAGGAAGCCAGTCCTGAGAACAGCAGAGCCAAGGGTTAGAAGGACCTGGGACCTCAGTGACGTTGCTGAGCTGCTAGCTCAGCAGATCTCGAGACCCTGCCCTGTGGTCTCTCAGTTTTATATGACAATAAATTTTCTTATCATCTGAGTCAGCTTCAGTCAGGATTTTTGTTTCCTGCAGCCAAAAGCATTCTAACAGATACGGTGGGAAAATATGGACAGTTTCCCAAGATATCAGTGTTTTGGGTTTATTTAGTTTGCAGTGTTATAAGTTCACGGAATAAAACAGATCCATATTCCAAAGTATACGAACACATTCCAATGCTAAATATAAATTAAATATTACTTTTAATCTTCACTTACATTTTAGACTGTACCTCGTGACTTTCCTTCATTAACACAGATAATTGCGAGCTGGCTGTTTTATTTCCACTGAACTATGCACCTTTATGGTGTAGAGACTAACTCTGAATCCAGCATCTCCCATCTAAGTCTATTCCCTTTGGGCTTGGCTCTGGGCCCATCCAGCCAGGGCTCTAACCAGACTTAAGGATCATTGTAATTACAATGTATGTTTCAACTCCATTAACTTGGAGGTAGGATAAAATTGATTTATAAGAGGAAATTAAAAACTACATTTAAATTTTAAATTATGTTTAAACTAATATTTAAAATTAAATGTTATTTTCTGAATAGTTGATTCATGCATATGGTACACAATTCAAAGCGTATACAGTGAAAGAAAGTCTCCCTCTTGCCCCTGGCTTCAGCCACCCAGCTCCCCTTCCTAGATAGACAATCATTGTTACCTGTTATGAAAGGAAACCGGTCTCCCTAATCCACTCAGCCCTCGGTTCAACCGGGGACATGAGCCCTGCTGATACACACGATATTCTGGAAAGTTGGATAGCGCCCTAGACCCGAGACTCACTAAGACTGTGCTCTGGTCGTGACCTTGAGAGAACAGCTGAGCCCCTGGCCTTGACTAGGTCATCTGAGCTTCTTTTATGGAATGGGGGTTAAAAAGCCTCTCTAATCTTCCCATGTTCTTCAGAGGAGATATAATAGTGAAAGTTCTCTGGAGAGATAAAAACACAACGGCAGTCAAGTACAGACAAATGAAAATAGTTTACCCCATGGGGATCCCAAAATGGGATGAATATTTTCTTTCACCTATTTAAAATTCTGTTTAATGCTTGAATAATTTCTGCATGAGCTAAAATATAAAAATAAAGGATTATGGAACCTGTTGTCAATGAGTTCTAATTAGTTGGCTCCACTGTTTTTGACCCCTTCTGAGGTGCAGGAAGTGCTAGGATTTGGGTAGAGTTTTTGTTTTTTTTTCCTACTCTAGGCATTAAGTACTTATATTGGCACCTCAGAGCGGGGGTAAAGGATAGAAAAGCAGGACCCAGTTTATACAGTTTCTGAGTGGTGGCTGTGTCCTGGAATAGCATGGTGGTGGTGTTGGGTCAATCCAACGGGGAGGGGAAGTGCCTGCAGTTGGTTTCCTGGCCCCAGGACACTGAGCTGCCCTTCCAGGTGTGTATGTAGTGCATGTATGTGTTCCCAGCAGGGGGGTGGGGGCAGTGAACAGGTAGACTCAGGGCACAGGGTGGTGGCATGAGCACCCCTCATGCTGGGCCTGAATTCTTATAGAACGAGCCAGCCATCGTTGGAGAGGGATCACAACCAGCCTCTGTTTAAACCGGAGGCTTTTCGGAATAGGCTGAGCTGCAGGCAGAACTGAGGAGGCTGAGGAGGAAAGCACCCAGAGCTGCCAGGGCTTAGCTGGGCTCAGTAAACGAGGGTTGACTGGGAGGGAGAAAGCCAGCATTGTGAGGGTCCGACTGCAGGCTGCTGCGGGAGACCCACGACTGGCATGTGGATCCTGTCGGAAAGGCGTGCTGTATTTGTTCTGGCAGGCTCCTTGGTAAATCCATGCTAAGACCCCGCCGGGATACTGTCAGCTATGAAAGGGCCTTCACCTTCTGCGCGGGCTTTTCTTCAGCCTCCGGGCATTTGCGGTTCCTCTGTTTAGATTTCGAGCCGGCAGAGACACTGCCCCTTTGTGGAAGGCTGCTCTGGCTGAGAGAAACTGATTCTTCCTTATTTCATTTTTTTCTGAAAACCAATCCTCTCTGAATTAGGACTCAAGCTACTGCCCTGCCATTGGGCCAAGACTTTGTGGTTGCCATGGCAACAGCACCTTCTCCTACCTAAGAATGATTCCTTTTTCTCAGAAGTAATGCGGCATTCTGCAGTCCCGCTCCTGCCCAGGTCTCTGTGGGTAGGTCCCTGTGTGCACAGGCGGTCATTTCTGGAATATGTAGAGGGGGAACACCACTGCCCCTGTTGACAGTATCATTCCTCCTGCTTCCCACTGTCCCCAGCCCACGTCTGAACTCAATACAATATTTGTGAATTTGGCAAAATTGAGTTTTGACACTTTCCCCCCCCGCCCCCCCCCCCCCCCCCGCCCCCCGCTTATATCTTTCCTTTTCCAGTTGAAGCAAAGTCAGCAAACTTTGACTTAAGCATCATAGCATAGTGATTAGGCACAAGGCTCCAGATGAAGGTTTTTGAGTTTGAATTGCAGCTTCAACATTTAAGAAGTATACATCCTCAGGTAAGGTTCTGAATCCCTCAGTTTTCTTATCTGTAAAATGGGGCTAATAATAATGCTTTCCTCATAGGGCTTCAGGGAGGATTAAATTGGGATTATTTGTGCAAAGTGCTTAGCACAGCGCCTGCCATGTAGTAGGAACTCACAAATAAACTCTTGGTTACTATTATCATGTGTCAGAAGCTGTGCATGGCTGTTTTAGGCAGAAACAATGCCAAAGGCAGCCAGCAGAAACAGATATCGGCAGCCACGGGCCACAGTCCCTCCCAGCCTCAGGGCAGGCACACCCAGCTCCTTCCACACCTATTCTTGGTTACTGGGTCATCAGTTGCTCTCAGTCTGTTCTTGTAGTCTACGGTCTACACACATCCATCCTGGCTTGACCTGATCTTGGTAACTGCTGCTCTCTCCAGAATCCATCCTTACATCTTTTTTTTTTTTTTTCTGGTTCAGATTCACAGTTGTCAAGATACAGTCTCCAGAGCTGGGTTTCTATTGCTGGTGCTCTTGGACCTGCCTATAAATAAGGTTCTTGTTTCAGGCTTATCTGACCAGCTTAACACCTCTCCATATAAGTCTTCCTGACTTTCTTCTGTCAGACCGCCCATTCCCAGTGGGCCTGATGGAGGAGCTCACGCCGGGATGTCTGCAGGGAGCTACGCCATTCAGGAGCGGCTCCCCTCCTACCCTGCACCTGAGTTCACCTCACACAACACAGACGCCTCCCAGCACCCTGGACCCAGTCCCTTCTTGCCTGATGGAATTTCTTATGTAGTTTTGGGGGTGCTTACAGAACCTTCCTTCTTCCTCATCCAAAAGGGTGCCTTCGATTCAACTTGGGTATCAACCAGTTCTCACCTGACAGCTGACCCAGGCGGAGAGATGAACCAACCACAGTTACTTAAATAGCAGCACCATCATCTGCCATTGTATTGTGCCATAGTTTATTAACTAGATCTATGTTATAGAGTATGAGAGCTGCCAGTCTCATGTAGCTATTAAGTGCTTGAAATGTGGCTGGTCTAATTGAGTAGTGCCGTATGTGTAAAATATACTCTGTATCTTGAAGACTTAGTACAAAAAATAAATGACCTAATTAATATTTCAATATTGATTACATGTTGAAATGGCAGCATTTTGGATATATTGAGTTAAATAAAATATATTGTTAAATTAATTTCACCTGTTTATTTTTACTTTTTTCATATGGCTCCTAAAAAAATTTAAATTACACACGTGGCGTGCGTGTGTGTGTGTGACATTCTTTTTATGCTGGACACTGCCGCTCTAGACTGCAGTCTCTCTGCAATAAGTTAGGGATCAAGGAAAATATATATTACTCTAGATATTTTAATCAGACAGGGATTTAACACAGGGAATTAGGTGCTTACAAAACTAAAGTTGGAGAAATGCAAATCAGCAGCGGGGGTGGGGGTGAGAGGGGCGATCTCCCTAACTTTCAGGTCCACTGCTGGCTTTCCGAGAATCAGGAAGTACTGTGTAGAGCAGAGATCAGAAAACTCCAAGAAAATGCTGCTGATGGTCCCAGCTGCCCCACAACACCCAGGTGGGTGGTTGGCAAGAGTTTCACTGGTTTCTGTAAAAACTGACATCTGACAAAGCCCAAGTGTCCACTACTGGTGCTGGAGGGATAAGAATGGGTCCTCTTGCCTCCCTTCTACCTTCCAAACCTCATGCAAACACATCTCATTGGCAGAATACAAATCCCCTCCAGGATCTTGCATGCCATGTGGTTCCCAATCTTGCAGCCCCGTGATATATAGGAGAGCCAGAAAAGGGTCTGTACTAATCGATGAAAATGAACAAGTGAAACCTGAACAAAATGAAACAGTCTCAATATTCAGCACACTCCTATAGGAGAGTCGTGTTCATCTTGGAGTCTCACATAGTGCCTGACACACAATAGGTGTTTAACGACTATTGAAAAAATTGTTTTTTTTGTGTGTGGATATTTATGTGGGTTTCAGTGTTCAGTGGACATTTTTGTGTATGAGTTTTCTTGTTTTTATTGATATATTTTCTGGGGATAGACATTCAGAAGTAAGATTGCTGAGAATTGTTTAGTTTTGTCATGTTGTTTTCCAGAAGTTCTGCACTGGTCTCTAGTCATCCATATATTATACACACAAGAATTCTATATGGGGGATGGCCTTTCATGGCAATGTCACCAACCCTGTGTGTCATCATTGCTTATATTTGTTCTAATTTAGTGTGTATAGGGTGAGCCCAGTTTTCTTTGGGTTGGGGACTGGTGAGGCAGTTAGCAAACGGGTTATGGACGGGGCTGACTGACTCAGCTGCAGAAGTCACGATTTCTCTCAGCACTGAAGGCCTCCAGCTGCCAAGAACTTTGTCCAGTTGAAGCCTTCCCCACCATTCTAGGTGTTCTTCCTTTACGATGAACGAAAAGGAGTGGGAAAGTTTGAATCACTGCCTTCTTCTCTGCTCCCAGTGAGGGTTAAGGATAATTACATAGACACTTGACGTTTGTCTCAGAGAAGGAAATATTAAATGGTAATAGCTAAATGAAACTTTTATTTTCTACCCTGAATCTTGCTGTGCTCCGTGACAGGGACCCACATGTTGATGGGGCTTAGTGTTTATGAGTTATATTCTAAGAACGAATACATAGCTTATTTCTCTGTAAGGGGAAGATGATCTAAAGCATGCAGAGATGATGCAGAAGCAGATCAGAGAACGGTTTGGGTTTCCTTACTTGTAAAGGGGGATAAATAACAGGATCCCTCAAGGTTATCGTGAGGATCAAATGATTTAATACACAAAAAGTGCTTATCAGGGTGCCCAGCACATAGTTAGTGCTCAGTAAATGGTGGCTGTTTCGGGGACAGGTGAGGCTATGGGTGTTCCTCAGCCTGAACCCTGATGTTCTCGGTCACTTCTGCCCTGAGCTGCATTTTTTTTATGATGAGTAGCCGAGTGAAGAGGCTGTTGGCACGAAGCTGGGAAATACAATTATCTGTAAAGGGTCTCTGGCAATTCTGGGATTTATGAGCAGGGAGATGTGTGCAAGGGGCCTAGCATTACGAGGTGTTGAGTCAAAGAATGGCTGAGCTGCCAAGAGTCTTTGACATCATTTAGTGATATCATTTTATAGATGAAGAGATGGAGGCCCAAGAAAATTAAGTGAAAGACCCAAGATTTTCCAGCAAGTTAATGGCAGACCTTGGAGAAGAAGTTGAGTCTCCAGACTCCCAGATCGGTATCTTGCCTATTCCACAAGAGCATCACACCCAATAGCTGGCCAACATTATGAGTGTGAGCCAGCGGTGGTGGTGGAGGCACACACCGTCTCTGATATTGCCCCTTCCCTATGCCAAAAAAGGGAAGAGATGCTTTTGCTAGAGACCCAGTTTCCCTGGTTCAGTGATTCCCAATCTTTTTGAGAATGAGGAATACTTTCTAACATCAATAAATTTCATAGACCTTCCTACCTTCTGGCATGATATAGAGGCTGTAGACTCAAACATCCAAAGTTAGAGAACATGTACAATAATACTAGCTACTATAAACATCCCAGCACTTTACAGCAGGGCTGTACATGCATTCGAAAAGTGGCTGTAGCTACATTATTTATTCAGACTACAAATAATGAATGCATCGCATTTAGATTTGTGAACACCTTGCAAGTATTCCTCTACCTCGCTAGATAACTTGCACATCCATTGCCATGGGGGGCTGGCGTTTTCCTTTATTTTCTAAGAGTTCCCAAAGGAGGATTCTAACGTAGGGGTAATGTAACAAAAATAAAGAGGAGCAGCAGGCTAAAACATTCTGGTCCTTTCTCTAAAATGGTCCAAGGCTAAGCTCTCAGGTACAAGGAATGAGACTTGAGTAGCAAAAAAAAAAAAAAAAAAAAAACCCACACAAACAAAGCTCTTTCTTGTTCTTTCATATAAATGCAATGGTAAGTTGATGCCCAACTAGGAATGTTGGCCCCAAAAGTCTGAGAGCCAAACTATTTGGGGGCAGTTATGGTTCATTAACTGCAGTGAAAAACACAAGAGTGACAGTCAAAGCTGGAGCTTCAGCAGCCAGAGTTGTATGTTTTCTGACATCAGATAATATGCATAAAAAAGAAATAGATTCAAGTTGCAAAATCTTGACTCCGTTTTGCCTCTCCCAGGGCAGAGCTGGGAAATGTGGAGAGAGAGAAGAGTTTCTGGGAGACGGTTCTGAAGGGCATGGACATCTGCCTCTCCAGAGCAGTTCTGGGGCTGGACTGGGTCCGCAGAGTGAGGACTCCGCACTGCTGGCTTCTCCTGGGGCCTCCACGGCGGTGTCTTGAGAGAAGATGGTGGGAGTGACTTCTGGTGACGGTAGCATGAGAGGCCGGTGATTCCTCTCCACAAAACAAGCATAAAACTGGAAAAAAATTGTCAAGAAGAACCATTTCAAAGCCCCGTAAATTGGCCAAAGGCAGACAACAAATCGAGAAGCTTTTATTCTTGAAAAACTGCTGGAGCTTCAGGTAACAACAGCAGGAGTCTGTGGCCTCCGTGCCTGGAGCGGCTCCCTCGCACTTCTACCAGCTCAACTGGCCAGAACTGTAGGTTTAAAAGTGCAGGGCTGGTCATGAAAGTGAACAACTTTGCTGCCAGAAAGGACAAACTCAGTTTGGGGTGTGTGTGTGTGTGTGTGTATGTGTGTGTATGTGTGTATGTGTCAACCTGTGGCTTTGCTGGCTAAAAGTAGAGGGCTCAGCTGGGAACAAACGAGGAAAATCTGTGACTTTGCTGGCCCAAGACTTCATTCTTGGTTGGAGTGAGCGGTGGATCCGCCAGAAATGTAATGGGGGAAGTCCGAGAAATTAAAGAGAGCTACAGAGAGGCTGAGAGAAATTGGCCACATACTCCTGACTGGTTGGGAAATCACACATGCATGGAGGAGACCCAAGAGAGCCCGCTGAACACTCAGAACCAAGGAGAACTGAGATCTGGCTGCAACTTTCAATGTGTTCTTCAACCCCCACACAGATTCACTGGTTGAGACATCAAGACCTGGCCGGGTGACACCTGGTGCAGTGCTCATCCCACTGCCCCGTATAACCCAGACACTGGAGAATCTCGAGCCCATAAAAGTGATACCGTCTGTCAGTTTAGCTATGTGTTGTCTTGGGTGCTTTCACAGTGGTACTGTGGAGGCAGTGCGGTGTGGTAGAAGGAGCATGGGTTTGGGTCAGACAGAATGAGGTTTTAATCCCAGCTCTATCTCTTACTACTTGTGTGAATTTGAGTGAGTTATGTAACCTCACTGTGTCTTATTCAATCCATAGAAAAGTTCAGTGGAGTAGGCGTTATTATTCTCCCCATGTTCTAGGACACAGTGATATGGAGAGCTTTTTTTCTTGGTGAGGAAGATTGTCCCTGAGCTAAAATCTGTAGCCATCTTCCTCTATTTTGTATGTGCGTTGCTGCCACAGCACGGCTTGATGACAATGTGTAGGTCCATGCCTGGGATCTGAACCTATGAACCCCGAGCCACTGCAGTAGAGCATACAAACTTAACCACTATGCCACAGGCCAACCCCTGGAGAGCTTTTTAATCTGTAAAAAAAAATTTGGTAGCATTAAATACTGTAAATAGGCTACAAACTACCTATCACATGGTAGGTATTCAATAAATACTCTTTTGGGGGCTGGCCCAGTGGCGCAGTGGTTAAGTGCCTACGTTCCACTTCGGTGGCCCGGGGCTCACTGGTTCGGATCCCGGGTGCGGACATGGCACCGCTTGGCATGCCATGCTGTGGTAGGCATCCCACATATAAAGTAGAGGAAGATGGGAATGGATGTTAGCTCAGGGCCAGTCTTCCTCAGCAAAAAGAGGAAGATTGGCAAAAGTTAGCTCAGGGCTAATCTTCCTCAAAACAAACAAACAAACAAAAATAAATAAACACTTTTTTTATTTGCTTGTTTGTTTTTGTTGTTGTTATTGCTGAAGATACAGAAGAAGAATTATGGCCAGGTTGATAAACTCGGAGAGCTTCTGCCCCCAGATAGTCACCAAGAAAATCATAAGTTGCTGATATTAATGCTGCGGTAGGTGAAACATCTACATGACCTCTGTAGTGGTTTCCCAGTGCTGCCAGA